AGGTTGACAGGTTTTTTACACATTTCCGACAGCATCTGAATGCACCAACAGTGTAATCATTGGCGAGCGGAGAGCAACACTGCTTCCAAGGGAAGACTTTCAGTTCACGATAGTGAAATCCTTTTATTAAATTAGAGGAAATCATAGACCCTTTGTCTACAAAAGACCGATACAGGTCTAACAATTGACCTGCGTCTTTTGTTAAACTGTGTCAGAGGAGACACATTTTGTATTTATTGCACTTACATTTACATCTCGCTTTTCAATAACATTCCCGTTAATATTAACAGTCCCACCTTGTTGGATAAGATGTTTTGTCTTATCCAAACTATCTATGCCGTTTTCAGATTAGCGTAATGTGCTTCTTGCTTAAGTCCAAATAAGCAAGAAGCTTTGGAGTCCTATTTGGATCGCTATTTAATCCAAATAGAGCTTTTTTATTTTCTAACCAAGGCCACCAGGTGGCAGCACAAAATAATAATGCAACCAGCATTTTCCTGTATACATATACATGGACTTTGAACATTTATAAGGAAGTTGACCTTCCAAAGCTACAATAATGAAAAACAACAATAAATTGGCTAAAGTTGCAGTTTTCTGAAAGGCTTTAATATTATTAATTCATGAGATTTTAGAATAACACTCCTGCACATGTACACATCCAAGTACACAACAAGTACTTACTAAACATTAGGATTTCAAAGTACAGTGTATAGATATCAGGTCTGCATCACAGTTAATTTGTTTCCAACAACCTGTTCAATAAATAATGACAACATTTCTTCTGATACTACTAAAGGCAGCCCAAAAACCACAAGCAGAGGTACTTGTCACCACCAGTTAAAGACCCACTATCTTAAGCCATTGTGTATTAGCCATTGTCATTGTTGTGGTGATATTTGATTCAGTTTTATCCAATATACACTGAATAACACTATGACTAATAATAGGTGACGTAAATGATAAGGATAGACAGAACAAGTGTGAGGATCATAGCATCTCCAAAACTACAGCTCTTTTGTTCTCCGCTTGTCAG